AAAAGGGGGTAGAGCAAGCCTCTTTTCTCCCTTATATTGTAAGCAGGCTACCCTCCCACCTGGGCTGGTGTCACACTCACACCATCTCGGTGCCCTTCTCTGTAACAGCAGAAATCAGGTTGTAGTCCACCAGAAACCGAAAGCCTCTATTCAGAACAAAACAGAGTTTATTAATTTGAGGCTAGCCACCCTTCATCCCTGACTTGCAAGTCGGGGAATGGGGCATGGGCCTGCCTTTGTTCCCACCTTATATACATTATTGGTTTCCATGGTAACAGATTGGAATGCTGTAGCCCTGGCCACATGTTGTTTTCCTTGTGCCAACTAACTGGGTCAGGCGCCGGTCATGAGTCCAACCACAATGATATATACTTTCTGTACTCTGTTCTATATGTCCCCCTTTAGATAACCATACATTTTCTTTATGGTTAAAATGTTTATCTAGGACCAAGGAAAGGATCAAACAACCCAGGCAAGGTCATAGGTAGTTATCTAGGCCCTGGTGTTCTTTGTCTTTGGAGAAGCATTCCAGGGCTAAGTCAGGACTGCAAAGTAAACTCTTTACAATCCCTCCAGGATGTTTCTCAACACACATTTTGAGGCTTGCATGAAGACTAGAATTATTCTATCTTAAAATGATATGCTAAGAGTCGCTGTCCCCTACACCTCTTGCACAGGAAGAGGATGTTTAAAAAGTGAGGACCCTGACCCCTTGTTGAGTCACTCAGTTAAACTTCTAAACTTCTCAGGTTGGCACGGTGCCTCAACTATTACACATGGTTTTCAGGAGTAAGTCAAAGCAGGTATCAGTGGGCTATAGCAGCAAAGCATAGAGAAAGAATAGGAACTTCACAAACTAAGCCCCAAAAAAGTATTTGATCATGGCTTATGGGAGAATTCTGTCCTCATCTAAAAAGAAAGTAAGTGATAAGATGGATCTTAGAGATGACAGTACTTGCTCAATTTCTCTCCCAAGTTGCCCTGTCCGATCTGAACTGGCTGCCTTCTGCATCCGCACCACACCTATCGTTCTGCAATCTACCTTCGGCACCCTCTAGGCAACTCATTTCCTTGATCCCATTTCCATTTCCTGCTTTTAGCATCCCACATTTTGTGTTTATTGATTTCTCAATAAGCAGTGTCTCCCGTAGCATGTTCAAGCAGGGCAGGTGGTAAATTTTCTGAGACAGCAAAAAATTATACTATTGTCTTGTAGCCTGGAGGTGAAAGGATGACTCAAGGATATAGCTTCTCAAATAGCTTTTTCCCTAGACTTCCCACTCTTCTCCCTTCCGTATTTATGACCATTTCCAGAAGTATTTCGACGTTTCTCGAGAAACCTGTGGTGTAAGTAGGGTGGATCTTTGGGTGTCCTCTTAATTTGGGACTTGAGTTTCTCAGTTTTATTAATCATTTGTCACTTCTTGCACTGTTTTCCAGCTTACAAAATTTTCTTGTTTTTACATCTGCTCTTGTCCTGCCTGTCTGTATGCAACTCCTCTCACTATAGTTTTGTGGGCTCCAGGGAGGAACAAAGGTAGAGACATGTATGTACATACATGAATCATCACTCACTCCTTAAGGAGTAGCAAGACTAGCAAAATGGGGTAAAAATTAAAAGTGGCAGTTTCTGAAGTTATGGATTAAAGACAGAGGTACTGAACATTAAAAAAAAAGTCAAAAGTGTAAAGTTTCTAAACTCCCTAAAACTCTTTCTAATAATGAGATGCATGTTAGAGATGTATCCTTCAGAAAATTTTTCTTTTTTTGTCGTCTTTTTGAGACAGGGTCTCGCTATGCAGTTCAGGCTGGCTTTGAGCTCACTTTGTAGCCCAGGCTGGTCTTGAACTTGCAATGATCCTCCTGCCTCAGCCTCCCAAGTGCTGCCATTACAGGCATGCGCCACCACACCGGGCTACCTTCAGGAAATTGTCACTTAGCAAAGGGACAAACAGGGGCATATTGCAGGCCTCTATGGGATGGAACAGACAGCCCCAGGATGGTGTGTGCCTCTAATTGCACCCACGTTTTATCAACCTGCATCTACACACACACACACATGCACGCACGCACACACCCACCCTGTTCCCAGCTTCCAAGCTCCTTCCTTGGTGTGCCGTGGAATTCAAGATCAGACATCAACAAGATCCCCAATATCTTAAATTCTTTGAGTTTTCTCTGATTCCCTAACATCACTCTTCACTTTGCTCTAACTGAAGCCTGGCTTTACTGAAGACACTGCATTTCCAGCAGATCACGTAGGTTGCTTTCTCAGGCCTCCAGTGATCTGGACTCTGGGATTCACCCTCTGTGTAGTTGCCTCCCTTGGTAAATCACAGCTGACTGGTCCCAGCAGAGTGGGTATAAGGGACAGTATGTAACTTCTGAGGTTAGGTGACAAGAGGCATTTTAGTGTTCACCTGCTCCAAGGAAAGCTACTGCTCTGAGGACTCAAGGAGCCTTGGGGAGGAACCCAAGTGGGGAGGAACTGAGGACCCACGCCAATAGCCAACATGGGTTGCTGGCCAAGTGTGTGAGACCTCTCGAAAGGGGATTCATCCCCCAGCCTCAGGCTGGGTCTTCTGATGACTGGAACTACCCTCCTTGGCCCACGGCTACTTAGGGAAATCCTGTGGGAGATGTACAATAAAAACCTGCACTGCTCCCAAACTCCTGATCGAGTGGAAACCACAAAAACCATGACAGATAGTAAATGATCATTCTTGTTTTCAGCCACAAAGGTTTGGGGTGACTGTCCTGCAGCTATAGTAATGGGAGCACTGTTGGCTGAAGAGAAAAAGTGCCTTCATTTTCTCCAGGCTATTACTCCTGGACTCTTCCTCTTCCCTAAAAGTCTTGAAATTCATTTCAGAAAACAATACCTCTGACTCACTCTCCTTATTTATGTTTCCTTTTGTGTGTGTGTCTTTTTGAGACAGGGTCTCGCTATGCAGTTCAGGCTGTCCTTGAGCTCATTTTGTAGCCCAGGCTGGTCTCAAACTCTCAATGATCTTCCTGACTCAGCCTCCTGAGTGCTGGGATTACAGGTATGTGCCACCATGCCGGGCTTGAGTTCTTTATATATTCTAGGTATTAGTCCTTTTTCTGAAGAACAGTTGATAAAATTTTTTCCCATTGCGTGGGTTGTCTCTTTGCCCTGTTGGTGGTTTCTTTTGCTGTGCAGAAGCTTTTTGATTTGACGTGATCCCACTTGTTGATTCTTTGTAATATTTCCTGCATAATCAGGGTTTTGTTCATAAAGTTTTTGCCTACACAAGGTTTTCAAGAGGTTTACCTGTTCTACCTTCAAGTAGATTAAGTGTTTCTGTTTTAATATTTAGATCTTTGATCAATTGTTATTTTAGTTTAATGCATGGTGAGGGCCATGGATCTAGGTTCAGTCTTCAGCATGTGGAAAGCCAATTTTCCAGCACTATTTATTCAAAAGGTTATCTTTCTTCCAGTGAAGATGTTTGGACCCTTTGTTGAAGATAAAGTAGTTTAGTGTGCTTGTAGTTCTTTCTGTATCTTGCTCTGTTTCACTGATCATCACGTTTTTTTGCTAGCACCATGCTGTTTGTATCACAATAGCTTTGTAGTGTAACTTTAAATTGGGAATTGTTATGCCCCCCACCTTGCTCTTGTTGTTCAGAATTGTTTTTTGCTATTCTGGGCTTTTTCTATGAGTTTTAGGATTGTTTTCTCTAGTTCTGTGAGGCATCTGTTGGTATTTGACTGGGATTGCCTTAAATCTGTGTAATAATTTCAGAAGTTTGGCAATTTTTCACTGGATTGTTTCTACCCATCCAGGAACAGGGGATATCTTTCCATTTTCTGATAGCCTCCTTGATCTTCTTTTTCAGAAGTAGTTTTCAATGTAAAGGTCTTTCATTTCCTTCATTAGAGTGATCCCTAAGTATTTCATTTTTCTTGATACTATTGTGAAAGTTGTTGGCCTAATTTTTCTCTCAGTGAGTTTCTTATTTGTGTATAGGAACACTATTGACTTTAGAGTGTTGACTTGTGTTCCGTTATGCTACTACTGAATTTGGTTATTAATTCTAGAAATCTTTTGGTGGTGTTTTTGGGGCTTTCTATGTAGAGTATCATTTTATCAGCAAATAATGATAATTTAAATTCTTCCTTTCCTATTCTTATTCCTTTTATCTCTTTCTGTTGTCTAATTGCTCTGGCTAATACTTCCAGAACTATATTAAGTAGGAGTGGTAATAGTGGACATCTTTGTTTTGTTCCTACTTTTAGAGTAAAGACTTTCAGTTTTTGACTATTTACTATGATGTTGCCTATTGGCTTGTCATAGACGGCTGTTATGGCTTGTGCCTAGGTGTCCTCTCAAAGGTCATAGGTGAGGTTTTTAGAGAGGTCACTGGATCTAGAGTGTGTGTAAAGCTGGGATTGATTCATGGTGCACTAGAATTAAGGTGTGAATGCTACTCAGCCTAAGGGTGGATAGCCTGGATAAGATACAAGGGACAGCGAAAGCTATGGTTGCCTTTTGCTGTTTTACTACCTTCTCCACACCAAGAAATGTTTCTCCTCTGCAATGCCTGTCTGCATCAGAGCCAGTCAGTTATAGACTGAAACCTCTACAAACTGTGAGCTAAAGAATCCTTTCCCCTCCAACTGTGTGTGTTAGGTATTTTGTCTCAGCAATGAGAAAAGTAACTAAGGCAGTGGCTTTTACAGCTTGAGATAAAGACCCTCCATTTCAATTTTGGGTAGAGTTTTTATCGTGACTGTGTGTTGTTGGATTTTGTCATATGCTTTTTCTGAGTCTCTTGAAATGATCATGTAGTTTTTGTCCTTGGTTCTGTTAATGTGATGTATTGCATTTATTGATTTGCATATTATGAACCATTCCTGAATCCATGGATGAATCGTTTATGATCATGATGTATAATCTCTATGATGATTTGCTGCACTCTGTTTGTCAACATCTCATTGAGGATTTTTGCATCTATGTTCATTAAAGATATTACCTGTAGCAGCTTCTGGGAAGATGATGGCGTGGGGAGCAGCAGAGAAACAGCCTCTCTGAGATTTGGTGTCCAGACACTGGAATAGAGCAATCTGAAGAAGAGAAGAAGTGGGAAGTGGGTCCCCAGGAAGGATCTCAAGGGAGAATTAAAGCCCACAGGGAATCCCAGGCCTCAGGAGGCTGAGGCAGGAGGTTTGTTGTGAATTTGAGGCCACCCTGGGGTACAAAGTGAGCCCAAGGCCAGCCTGAACTGCATAGCGAGACCCTGTCTCAGAAAGACCAAAAAAAAAAAAAAAAAGCCCACAGGGAGAGTGAAGAGAGATTCTCTGAAGGAGAAGGAGGTGGCAGGCAGAGCTTTCTTCCTGAGACTGAACTCACTGTGTGGGACAGGCAGCTTGAGTTTGCAGAGGAATGGTGACTACATGGTGACTACTGGTGATCTACATGGTGACTCCTAGGTTCCACAGAGAAACACATCAGTGGACGGAGCAGGGGACTGCAGCACTTGCTGCGTTATCTGGGTTTGGACAGCCCTCAGGAGAAGGCAATTAGGGCCGGAGATATAGCTCAGTGGCACAAGCGCCTGCCTGGCAAGTGCATGGTCCTGAGTTCAACTCCCAGTACCAAAAAAAAAAAAAAAAAAGAAAGAAAGAAAGAAAGAAAAAAAAAAGGTAGCAAAGTTGACAAACAATACATAATCTCTTGGGCCAGGGATGTAGCTCAGCGGCATAAGCACTTGCCTAGAAAGCCTGAGGTCATGAGTTCAATTCTCAGTACCAAAAAAAAAAAGAGAGAGAAGGAGATTGGCTGGGAGCGATCTTATACAGAGGCCAACTGAGTTCAGAACTCAGAACAGCTGTGGGCTGGCTCCAGGTAGAGGCTCCCAGTAACAAGGTCAAGGAGCTGAGTTCAGGCCGGCAGGATCGCTGCAGACGGAACAAATCTGGTTCCAGCCTCACAGCCAGAAACCACCCTGAACTTCAGTCGAACTGAAGACGCAGGTTTGCTGGGATTAGCCACCACCCTGCTGTAAAACTACAGCTGGCTTGCTGGGGAAATGATGAACTGTGGTTAACTAGTAATTTGCCACCTTTAACCATACGAACTAGATTTGTGGCGATGTAACAAAATCTAAAAGGAACCAAAAAATTGTATGCGGTACTTTTACTGTGAATATGGCACTTTTACCCTCAGGGGAGAACTTTGAAAAGGGGTTAGGAGGAGAAGCTAGGGAGGAGAAGAGGAAGAGATTAGAAGCAAGCCAGAGGACAAAGGAAGATCATGCAAACTTTGGGAAACTGTTGAAGAAGACAGGAGGGAGAGAAGGAAGAAATAAAAACAAGATCAGACTGAACAACATCAACAAAAAACTAGAAACCATGTTAACCCCTATAAAAACAAATACAATCAAGAAAAAAAAGAAGGCAAAAAAAGGAAGAGAATGAGAAAAAAAAGTCCACTTCAAGGTGTGTCTCTGCTACCACTGGTAGACAATGTGGGTGGACAGAGTCCAGACCCGAGTTGATTAATCCCAGCAAGCCAGCCATAGCTTCACATAGGGGTAGGGGATAATTCCAGCAAGCTTGCACCTTCCGTTCCACTTAAGTTTAGATGGTGTCTAGCTATGAGACTGGAGCCTGGTTTATTCAGCTTGTAACACTCAGTGCTCCTCCTGGCAGCATGACCTCTGCAATGCCTGAGTTCTGCTCCATGACCTCCTGCTGGTTTTGACTCAGCAGCCTCACCCTGGCACTGGCAGCTGCCACATGGGGACAACATGCAGCTGGTCTGAGTTCTGAGCTCAGCTGCCTTCTCTCCAAGATGGCTACTGACAAATCGCCCTCTCCTGGGGAGCATCTGAAGCCAAATAACTGGCTGGCCAGTGCAGTCTGCTGCGTCCACTGCTTTGCTCTACGGGTGCATCTCTCCACGGAGGTGCAAGCCTGTGGGGTTGCCAGTAGTTACCATGGCTGTGCAGGTTCGAGCCGCCCCTCCCATGCAGCAAGTTAGGGCTCAGGGAGAAAGCATCTCTTGCCACCCCCTTATTCTTCACTGAAGTCTCCCTCTTCTCTCTTGCATGGGCTCCAGTTCTTGCTTGAGATCCTTTCTGGGTCCTGAGAACCCACTTTCCCCCTTCTTCTGTTCTTCACATTGCTGTAGTCCAGTGTCTGGACACAAGTCTCAGAGAGGCTCTTTCTCTGCTACTCACCCCTCCGCTGTCTTCCAAGATGTAGCACTTTAGGATGTAATTTTAGAAGCAGATCCTTCCCGGGTCCTGGGGATCCACCTCTCTCCTTCCTTTCTTCCCCATGTCATTATTTTCCAGTGTCTGGATTCTGAATCTTGGAGAGGGTGACTTGTTGCTGGTTACTGCTCTGCCATCTTCCCGGAAGTCTGCCTTTCACCTCTTCACATCCTTACAGTACAGTAGAAAAGATGGAGCTGAGGAAGTTGTTCCTTTCCACCCATTAATTGTAAACAACACCCCAGGGCCATTCCTCCTTCCCCTGTCCTAAGAGTGGTAGAGACACACCTACAAAGACCCAGGTAACCTCTGATGCTCTAGGTGAGAGTACATGTGTTTAGATCTCCTTGCCTGTCTTCCAGTCATCTTTATCCTTCTTCAACCATATTTAGGGTTCATGAATGGGCACTGTATCTTACGCAGGGAATTAAGATCAGACTGAGTTCTGGGACAATCACGCATGTTAAGAGCCCCTGACATGACACAGCACCCTGCCAATCATTCCTGTCAATCATACCTAGAGGCACCTGGGGCAGCACTTGGGCTGAGGTGCACATCCTTTAAATTCTGAAACCCTGACTTATCTGAGGCTGCTATGTGCTATGTTCTTTGTGCTTATTTTTTTTGTTTTTGTCTTTTTGAGACAGGGTCTCGCTATGCAGTTCAGGCTGGCCTTGAGCTCACTTTGTAGCCCAGGCTCGTCTTGAACTCGCAACAACCCTCCTGCCTCAGGCTCCTGAGTGCTGGGATTACAGGCGTGCACCACCATGCCCAGCTTTGTGCTTTTGTTTTTCTGTCACCTTGGCACCACTTTTCTGTTTGTGCCCTATTTTTGTCAGCCTTGACTTGCCCTGAGCACAACTTTCCATGATCTTCAATGAATGTAGGTGCTTCCTACTTGCCATGGGTGTGTGCGCTTGCGGTTTATTGCTTACCCTACATAAGAGCCTGAATTTTACATCCCGAAATCCTCACCTGGTAACACACATTATTTTCTTCTTACCCAGCAGGATGTCAGGGACAGTCATTGCTACCACACTCTTGCAGTCATACTTATCCCCTTTGCTCCTCTCTGCTTTAGCATATTCACCTGTTAAAAGTTAACCCTCTTAAAATTCCACTGCGTTCGTTAGAGGTCAGATCTAAAATGTCCCTGTAAAAGTCCGCTGTGTTCAGAGGTGGGGGTCTTGGAAGGTCACTGTGAGACATGCGATCAGGGCGTGTCCAAAGCTGGCTGGGGAAGTAGGTGTGACCTATTTATTACAAGATCCTGGACATGTGCAGAACAGTTCCCAAAGCCATGCATGCGGACTGCTCACGAGACCTGGAGCGGGTTTTCAATGGGAGGCCTAGGCTTGACACCAGCCTGAGACATGGGCTCCCAGCACTACCTCTTGGGATCCACATGTGGTAGTTCTCCCGGGGCCCGTCGAGATTTAGACAGCATAAAAGGAGAGGTGAGCCACGAGGAGCTTTCTCTCATACATTTCCATGACAGCCCGTGCTGTGTTCCCCAGATGCAGCGTGTCCTTTTATCTTTGCTCTCACTCTCTTCTCCCATTTACTTGGCCCAAGCTCGCTCTGCAGAGCCAGTTTCTCTCCCACTCTTCACTTTTACTTCCTTCAGTAAACGTTGCCCCTGCTTTCCGCTCGTTTTGTTCAATTCTTTGTTCAAGATGAGAAGAATCTGGAGTTCAGCTCGGGAAGGTCAGGTGAGCAACGCCAAACCTGGCAACATTCAGTTGGAGAGCCACTTTTTAGGAGCAGGCTACCCAATGACAAATGGATCATGGGGATGCTACACTCATCAGCACATTAATTCACTGAGTTCACAGCTGCCTGTGGGGAGGGGGGATGGCAGGAACAAGAAAGTGGTTGGAGGCATGCGCTGTGAGAGTGTGTTCTCGTCCTGGCCTCCTGCGTGGTTTCTCTACATCCGGGGGTCTACACGATAAGCAGCTTTCTTCTGCCATGCACTTCCACCATGCTGTTTCTTCCTTGGAGCCAGCTGACTGTGAACTGAATCCACTGGAAACTGAGCCGAAGAAACCCCTCTTCTTCAAGTTGCAGCACTGGGTATTTCACCTAAGTGATGGGAAAGTGACTCAGAGACTGTCCATTCTGCACTGGCACTTGTACAACTGTAAAAATCACATGCAACTGCACACTTGCTTCACTTTTTTGTTTTGGATTGGTTATAACAGTTTCAAACTATTTTATGTACAAAAAATTGTAGGAATAGTACAAATACTTCCCAGACACCCTTTATTCAGATTCCTTCATTATTAATATTTCCATGTGTGCTTTATTATTATTCTCTGTTTGTACATTATTGTTATAGCTTGTACCTAAATGTACCCCCAAAGCCTTATGTGACATAAATGTGGCTGGATTAGGGCGTGTGAATGTGGATTAAGGATGTGACACTGTTATTAAGGGTGTGTGGTACTAAATGTCTCCACTGATTGGAATTAGTATAGTTGTGGGTGTGGATAATGGAAGCCCCACCCTGGGTGGGTGGCACCAACAAATAGGTTTAAAGCCTGGATGGAAAATAAGGCAGAAGGAAAGAAGGCAGGGTCCTGCTGCTTCACTGCATCCTGCCTGCTCTGTCATAGACTGTGCCTGAGAAGAGCAGAAAGTTAGCCAGATATAAGATATAAGAACTTAAAGCTTTTGGGCTGGGGATTTAGCTCAGTGGCACAGCTCTTGCCTGGCAAGCACGAGGTCATGAGTTCGATTCCTGGTACTGGAAACCCCACTGCCCTCCCCCCCCAAAAAAAGAATTTAGAGCCTTCTTAGGTATTTTCTTTCTTTACTTTTTTTTTTTATTTTGGTACTAAGAATTGAATCCACAGAGTGCTGAGCTACTCTTCCAACTTTTTTTTTCTTTTAAATCTTGAGGTAGGGTTTTACTCAATTGCTGAGGCTGGTCTGGAGCTTATAATCTTCCTGCCTCGGCCCCCAGCATAGCAGGGATTACAGATGTACTTACTATGCTTGGCTTCTAAGGCCTTTTCTGAGCATGCTCCCAATTTGTGGCCTGGATTCCCGGGAATTTGCGGGAGATTTTCAATCTCATTCACGTGGCCTTTTCTTCCCAGCTTTTCGAACTGCTTGTCTGCTTTAATTTTTACCTCTTGCCCCAGTGTCAGAGTCTCATACTTGGCCTTTAATCGTTTTTGATGAATGCTCCCCACCTCCTCTCCCAAGGAGGCTTTCTCAGTCCTGGGAGAGTTCTGAGTTAGGTGGAGCAAAGGCCAGGAAACCCTTAGTACTCTAGGGAGCCACAGACAGGCAAAAGCACACTAGGATTCTTTGAGAATAAGATCTGTCCTGTTCCCTCTGAGACTAGGAACCAGTAGCAGGACTCGGGGCTAATACGGAATGTGGAATAGTGCTGCAGTAATTCAAAATGTGCAAAGTCCTCTTATTGATACTCACCTGCTTTTTTCCTAATTATGTGTTCCCCTGATTTTTAGCTTTTGGTTCGATTCCAGAATTCTAATAATTTGCTCCTGACAATTACTTGTTGCTTTTGGGGAAGTACAGACTTTCGGGCTTTTCTACTCTGCCATTGTTCCTTCCATCTTACTATTTCTTTCTTTCTTTCTTTTTTTTTTTCCTTTTCTTTTTCTTTTTTTGGTCTTTTTGAGACAGGGTCTCACTATGCAGTTCAGGCTGGTCTTGAAGTCACTTTGTAGCCCAGGCTGACCTTAAACTCACAACAATCCTCCTGCTTCAGCCTCCTGAGTGCTGGGATCACAGGCATGCGCCACCATGCCTGACTGTTTTCTTTCTAAACTGTGTGGAATTCCAACTCCAGGTGCTACAGGTACATTATATAACCAGTCCTACTTTGGTAATGAATTGCTTCCAATTGCTACTAATACAAATTATATTTCAGTGAAGAATTCTGCACATTATTTTGCATATATGTGATTAAGTCTATAGGTGAAATCTTAGACAATATGTTGCTGAAGAGTATATTCATTTTGTGGTTTTTATAACTATTGCTAATGCACTGTATCACTTTATATCCCCATCATGAAAATTCCTACATCCACAGTCTTATTAGCAGTGTGCAGGGTCAATCTAATAGTGAAAAATGGCATATCAATGTGCTTTTAATTTCTATTTTATTTTGAGTGAATCAAGGCTCTTTCTATATTTTTAAATAAATATGTGTTTCTTTTTCCTTCCCTTTCTTTCTTTTCTTTTTTTCTCTCCATCCTCCTCTCCTCTTCCCTCTCCCTCTCTTCCTTCCTTTCCCCCTTCTTTTCCCCCTTCCTTTCCCGCTGCTCCCCTACCCCTCCCCTTCTTCCCCTTCTCCTCCCCCTGTCCTCTCCCTCCCCCTTCCCCTCTTCCTTCTTCTTCACAGTGCTGAGCTATATCCCCACCCCTGCACTCTCTTTATTTGAAACAGGTCTTACTAAGTCAGCAAGTTGCTCAGGCTGGGCTTGAACTTGTGATCCTCCTGCCTCATGTCTTTCCTTTCTTGTGAACATTCTTGCGTATGCTTTATCAATCTTTTACTTGACTGTATTTTTTCATATTGGTTTCTAGGAGAGCTAGTTTCAGGGTGCTGTCTTTAAATACATGATCCTTAATCTCAATGAGGCATTTATGAAGCCCAGAAATACTGCTACCCTACTACACTAGTCGGTAATTTTCCTATAGATCTCATCTTTCTCCTAAAATTTGCAACAACTTTTCCTGTATATCCACTTCCATATCCTGTTCTGTTTCACTGAGAAGTATCAGTGGGCTTCAGTCAAAGGCCACCGGCAATTTGCCGACACTGGGCGTGCTGTCCCACTGCGATGAGGGTGGAGGAGCTCCGCGGAGAACTTCGAGGGCATCACAGTGACACGGTGTTATAAAGAACTTACCACAGGGCTTGGATTTGTGCTCGGCGATTTTGAAGGAAGCATTGAAAAAGTGAGGTTTCCTCCTGCAGTACATGCTGTCAGGAAGGTGTGCTAATTCTACGAACGGCATCTTAATAAATCTTCCCTAGACGGCAGGAGAATGAAGTGACGCTAAAGCTGAAACAGAAGTAGCCGCTCTCACTCACGGGGTCCAGCCTGGCGGATACGTAGTCTTTTTTTGTGGGTTGAGCTAGTGCCATGTTTTTGTTTGTATTTAGACATAATTACACAAGGTGATGGAGCGAGAGAGGCCTTGTTTAATCCTGGTGGGCTGAAATTTCTTGTGTTTAACAGAGACTAGTTTATTCAGTTTTGTAGAGCAAGGATGGAAACCTGTCCTTCATTGATGATACCGTTAGGTAATGTATCCTTTACTCTGTAACATCTATTTTATTTTATTTTTTACCTTTTTAAAATTTTTATTTGTTTTTGTTTTTTTTTTGACACAGGGTCTCGCTATGCAGTTCAGCCTTGAGCTCACTTTGTAGCCCAGGCTGGTCTCGAACTCACAGTGATCTTCCTGCCTCAGGCTCCTGAGTGCTGGGATTACAGGCGTGCACCACCACGCATGGCTTGTAATATCTATTTTAAAAATACACTCAGTGTCTGACATTTTGTAGAACTGAATTCAACCCTTTTTCTCTTCAACTTTATGGTTATTTTCAAAAATATTGAAATAGTAAAAAAAAAATTACCCAGGAGCAGTATATTCTCTGCTTAGGTGCAGTAATTATTACCATTTTGGCACTTTTTGCTCTCTTCATAGATTTACCTTTTTTTGAAGCATCTGAAAGCAAGTCAGCAGACATGACATCCCTAAATGTCTCCGCACAAAATAACATTCACTAACGCAACCACAAATTATTCATCATCCACAAGTGGATATCCATACGTTTATTTATAGACCATTAAATTATTCCGTAACATCAACTCTAACATACACATCATATTCAGTCTTCTTCAATTGTTCTGTGTTTTTTAAGCTATTTTTTGAGAACCAAAGATTCACAGTGCTCAACCTTTGCTGAGCAACTTCACTTACCTTCCTCAGAGGAACAAGCTTCGGCCACGCAGTTCGCTTTTCCGCGCTTTGGAGTGGGGTGCGCGCTGCACGGGAGGCGCAGGGGTTTGAGTTTGGGGAGGGCAGGATCGTCCTGATCCCTAGGCAGGGTCCCTGAAGATCCTGATCAGCGGTCTTCCGGAGGCAGCGGGGGGCAGGGGCACGCAGCTGCCGCCAGAGGGCGCAGGACGCCACGGCAGACCCCTAGGTGGAACTCGGAGGCCGAGGCGCGCCGGTCGCCTCTGCCCGCGCTCGGGTGGGGCTGGGGTCGCGGCGGCGCGTGCGCAGTGGGGCCGCGATGGAGGGCGCTCGGGCAGGCCGCCAGGTAAGCGGCGCGGCCGGCGCGGGCCCCCGAGCGGCCGCTTTCTGGGCACGTCCCCTCTCGGCTGCTGTTTGCACCCTGTCAGGTCGGGTGATTAATTCCTCCGTTCCCCTTCTCTCGGTGCTCTTTGGAGTGATTTGGAAAGTTGTTGCCAAGGAGACGGTTGCGGTGCAGCGCCGCCTCCCGGAGGGGCAGCCCGCCGTCGGGTTCCCTTGTGCGATCCTGACCTGGTATCGTGGTGTTTTTGTTTTTGTTTTGTCTTTTTGAGACTGGGTCTCACTATGCAGTTCAAGCTGGTCTTGAGCTCACTTTGTAGCCCAGGCTGGTCTCCAATTTGCTACGATCCTCCTGCCTCAGCCTCCTGCGAGCTGGAATTACAGGTGTGCGCCTCCACACCCTGCTCTTGGTATTGAGCTTTTTCCAGCTTCACTCCCTTCCCTTCACAGTGAGTCCATGATAAGTGGACCCAGGTAGTTTAAATCCCTGTGCTGTCAACCACGTTTTGAGTTTCAACTAATTTAGCCTTTTGTTTATCACTTTATTTGATAAAATGGAAAAACTTGCTGCTAATCTTCAGGGTGAAGGTCTTCTGTTGCAGGGCTGCCTCTTTCTTGCTATCCTTGCATTTACATTGCTCATGTGAAAGCATTTTACTTTTATTTTTAATTTTTTTGTCCTTTTTTTGAGACAGGGTCTCCCTATGCAGTTCAGGCTGGCCTTGGACTCACTTTGTAGCCCAGGCTGGTCTCGAACTTGCGCCACCACTTCCGGCAATATTTTAGTTTTAGAAAACTGCAGTCCGTGCTGTACCTTGATAGGGGTATTAGTTTACCGAAGGGTAGAAGCATTCAGATAACTGTAAGAGCATACTACTGAAGGAATGTATTCTTTTAATTGATTCTCAAAATACTGCTCTGAAATAGACAGGATAGATATTCACGAACCCAACACACACACACACACACACACACACACACACACACACACACACGGACATGAAGTGGCCTATTACTTACGTAATTGAGTTTTCCAGGGAAACCCAGGATGGCCGCTCAGGAGCAAGGAGAGGAGACTGACTTCTGCTGCTTTTATTGTGATGAGGGAGTGGGACCTGGGTGAGAGTTTCTGGGGCAGGAGCAGGGTTGCTTGGTGTGAGTGTCCCAGCCACACCAAAGAAAAGACCACCCACACTTTCTTGCCAGCTTGCCCAGAAGAGGAAGAGGGAGGGGTGAAATTTAAAAGTTGTCTGCAGGCAAAGGTTAAAAATTGAATCAGTCTTACTACAATTCACTGATAGAGCTGGGCCTGGTGGCGCACGCCTGTAATCCTAGCATTGGGGAGGCTGAGGCAGGAGGATCGTTGTGAGTTTGAGACCAGCCTGGGCTACAAAGTGA